CTTCTCTAGTGACAGGTGGGCTCTTCCTCCCTCCCAGATTCATATCAGGGCAGTTCCCTAACCATGAAAAGATTTCAGGTATTAGGCAGCAGAAAGATAAACAATGTTCCCAACAAGGTCTCACAGAAGTCAGTATAGCCCAGACCACTTCTGTTTTTTAAGGTCCTCAGTCTATGAAAAATAAAAACTCCATGGAATACCAACATGAGATTACCAAAATCACACTATCTTTAATGTATTTATAAAATAAAACAATGTTTGTAAGAAATGAACTGTATTGCTCACAAAATAGTTTTATATTTTTGTTTTTTGACAGTGGGTCACAGGTTTAAAGTTGGGGTCTGTGGAGACATGCCTGTGACTGTTTTTAACTTCAGTTAGTAATCAAGCCAGAGGAGTGATGGTGAGGCCTGGGCCAGATGCCTTCCAGGCTGCTGTGATAGGCTCTGGTATAGGCAGATGGTCCAGGGCTACAGGTTGGCATTTCTCTGAGCATGGGATATACCCTTGGGCAGCAACCCCTCCTTATCCAAGAAGTCAGGTGTTCCAAAAGATCTATCAACTATCTACCTGACCAGGTATGTTTTGTTTGGGGATACATAATTGATTTAATTGCAAGATCAAAGAGATGCGCTTTAAAGTTTTTGAAATATATTCCCATATTACCTTCCTGAAAATGTTCTGTAACTTACATTTTCACCCCTTGTGTGTGAGAGTATCCACATCCATGCACATTTTCCAACACTGGATATTTAAATCTTGAACATTGTTTTTCTAATTAGGATGGGTTAAAATCATATCTGCTTGTTTTAGATTATATTTGGAGGAGTCTTTCTGGTTTAGTGTGGGAAAAGATGAACTACTTAGTAAATTATATTGACATGGTTGACTGTCCATTCAGAAGAATTAAATGACAGAAGTAAAATCCAGATGAATTAAAGATCAAATATGTTTTTAAACCCTATCAGAGTTATGTAGGTATTATTTTACTTTGAGCCTTGTAAATGAGAAGGGTTTTTCCTATCATTATGTAAATATAGAAGTCATCAAAAATTATGACCAAACAGCACATAAAAATATAAGGCTTATGGGGGAAATGACCATTTATGATAAAAGACCATTATATTCCATACAACTATATTCAAATCTGAAGTCAAATAAGAAAAAGAATTGGTTGAAATACAAATGACTAAAATATGAAAATATTTTTTACTTCACCTTTTATCAGGAAGATTAGAATTAAAATTGTCCTGAGTGTGCTGGTGTCAGCTTGGCTGAGCCACAGTGTCCAGTTATTTGGCCAAATATCATTCTGGAAGTTTCCATGAAAGTATTTTTGGATAAGATTTACATCTAAATTTGTGGTCTTGGAGTAAAGAAGAATGCACTCAGTTAGAGGCCAAAACAGAACAAAACTAACCTCCCATAGTAAGAGAAGATTCACCAGCACACTGCTTTCAGACTTTGTTTCCAACATTGGCTCTTTCTGGTTTTTCCAACTGAGTAACATTTGAGATATATATATTCTATTATTTGCATTCTCTGGAGAGGCCTGACAAATATACTGAGTCACAAAATGTTAAATATCAACTTTTCAAAAACTTAAAATACAATATTTTTCTCTTATTGACAGGGTTATAAAATTTCTTACATACTATTGAGGAACAAAGTGCTGATTCCATTGGAGAAGGTAATTTGTCAGTAGGTATCAAAACTTCAAATGTAGATAGTATTTAATTCACCAGTACCACTTTAGAAAATGCACAAGTGCCCAAGTAAAAGGATGTTCCTTGCAGCATTATTTATATTATTGGAAAATTAGAGATATTTGTTTTTACTATTCATTCATTTATCAAATACCACATACTCACTCTGAGTTATGTCTAACTTTGGTCTCTCACTTTAGTATATACAGTCTGTGATGGTTAAGCTTAAGTGTGAACCCAATTTGCTTGGGAGCTACCCATGGAATTAGCAAAGTATACTTCTGGGTGTGCCTGTGTGGGTTATAGACCTTGGGGTCTATATCTAGTCCTTTGCCTCTTCCACTCTGGCCCTGTTCTCCTGCTCTACTTCCTGGCCTCCATGAACAGAGAAGCTTTCCTCTGCCATGCCTTCCCACCATGATATTCCTGCCTTGAAGCCAACTGACCATGGACTGAATCCTCTGAGTCCATGAGCCAAATAAACCTCTCCTCTTTAAGGTTGGGAAAAGCTATGGAGGAAGGGGCCAAGGAGATATAATATGCAAAGTCATGCCCCATGACCTACCTCCTCCACCTAGGTCTCACCTCCTAGTAGCTCATTCTGCATTGAACCTATCAATGTGGTTAGTGCCGTCACAATCCAATTACCTCTTCAGAAGTTTTTTAATTTTATTCCAGTTGTTAGTCAAGATTAACTGGCACAAATCCACCCCTTGTCAACTTGTCATCTAATCACATCTCATTAAGCCATATTAATCTCCAAATAAATACAATAATCAAGTCACAATTCTGCCTAATATGACAATGAAAAATGTCTTAATCCTTGCCCCAGAGTCTCAACTGTTCAAGTGTTTCTCAAAACTACAAGTCCTAAATTTCTTCTGAGACTCAAGGTAACTCTTATCTATGAATCCTTGTAAAAATAAGAAACCAATATACATACTCTCAAGATACAATGCCACAAGGTAAACATTCCCATTCCTAAAGGGAAGGAATAGGGGATAGAAAAGAATTGAACCAAAACAAAAGAAATCAGCAGGGCAAACATTAAATTTTGTAGCTCCATTTCTAGCATCTGGGGCACATGGTGGACAGATGTGAGTTCCAGAGAACTGGGCAGCTTTGTACCTATTGCTTTTTCAGTTCCAGAATGCATGACCTTTCTTGGGGCCGCTTCACTTACTACCTATGACCTTTATTTGAAAAATGTTCCATGTTGCTGGCATCTCTAATTTTGTAGGATTTCCACTGAAGCTTTGGCTTCACTCTCACAGCTTTACACATCATATTCATAGTGACTCCTAGCAGGGACTCTGACCAGTGACACATTTCCTGGTCTCTCAGGCCTTCCTTTGAAATCTAAGTGGAAGCCTCTGTGGCCCCAAATTTCTTGCAATTTGCATGTCTGCACAACCAGTATCATGTGGAAAATGACAAGTTCTGCTTTCAGCTCCAGCAGTAGCTGAGCCCTTTTGGACCATTGCTCCAGTGGCCTCTGAGTGTCCGGATGGAGGAGCACAGTAAAATGAGTCTTGAGGAACCAATTCCCTAGGTGCCTATTGGCTCTCTGCTCAAATGAAAGGATTATACATTTGAACCATTGAGCCTGCAGTGGGTGAGATCTTACTGATTTCTGAGATATTCTCAAGATATTTTTACTATTGTTGCAGCACAAGTGCTCTTTGTAACAGTGTTGATCTCTTTAGCAACCACACCCTTCAGATCCCTGTCTTTATGCGAGTTTCTGTTCTGGCCAAACTTGAAGTTTTTCAAACGTACCTGCTCTGCTTTTTGCTCCTAGTTCTCACTATTAATCTCACTAAAAGGAAGTGCAGTGACATACCATCTTGAATACACTTTTTCAGGCAAGTTTATTCAATCTCTCCAGTACATCTGGCTCAGTTAGGTTCCTAGATTCTCACAAAGAATTCATACATCTTAAAGAAACAAAATAAAAGCAGAGAAAGTAAGCAAAATCTTTAATTTCTTCTTTATTTTAGAAAAAATGGTTAATGATGAAATAAAATGACTTAGAGCCTTGAAGATGTATAGGAAAAAA